ATCTGACCAGTATACATGAGACAGATAACCTGTGAAAAAAATCAGGAGCCAACCATCCCATCTTTTTATCTTTCTTGACTCTGATTGGTTTTTGTTCAGGCCCGGTGGATTCTTGCAATACCATTGAGGACACGTAGACAGCAAGAAACCAGATTTTTTTTCACAGATTATCTGTCTCGTTACTTGTGTTGGCATTTTATTTAGTTTCAGCAATAGGCAAGAAGTTATTTTTTTAATAAAATGACCTATTGCAGCTTTAAGGACAATGTTAGTATTTTAAGTTTTATTTGCTAAATCAATGTCTTCATTCATAAATGTGTCCTCATTGGTGTAAATTACCTCTGCCTAATGATCTGACTTATCCTATCCTCGTCAGTGAAAAGATTCTATCGTATATAATTGGACGGGAAGTCCATGAAGGCTTTCCATGTTGTTACGCCATTTTGAAAAACTCAAGGTGGAAACCCAGGATGGAAAGAGCTAATGAAGGAGGAAAGACTTTGAAAGGGACGCTGAAGTTGCCTGCTTTCTCCTCGACAGGTTAAGTCAATGTTACGGTCTAAATTACAAGGTTTTTTTTATTGCTATCGAAAAATTCTACACAATGTACCTTTAAGAGAAAGATATAAGATTTCCCATCCAGTCCAACCTCAGTGTTTCTTCTTGTTGCTACAGTGTGATGTTTGAATGATGTCTGTGCAGAGTTTGACACTAGAAGGATGTTTTCACATTCGTTTGCTGAAAGTGGAAAGTTTCTCTGTGCTCACTGAAAATCAGATTTTAAGGTCCAGGGCCTAAGAGCCAGCCATTTGTGACATCACAAATAGTCTGGAAGTCAATCCTGGTAAAGCCACTGGTTATTAATCATGTGATCACTTGAGAGTTGCTCTTAAAAGGTTTACTGTACTGTAGGTAGGAGTAACTCACATGTGTAATATAAACGTGGGGAAGCACTATTTTTACTGCTGAGTTGGCTCTTCAAAGCATTTATAGGAGTAATTCCTTTTTGCTTGATAAATATGGCCCCCGACTCTTAACCTCGCGAGACAGCTAAGATTTTTAAGGAATGAGAATCTGAGAATCCATCTTGTCAGGCCTGGTTTAACACAAGGTGGGTGCAAAAAGTGACTGTTTGCTCTATTACAACAATGGCAGCTGCTAAAGAGGTTAGCGTAGATGCTGCTAGCTTTAGTTGGAGAAGAGCAAAAAACGGCACTGAAGGCTTTCCTTGAGGGAAAAGATGTTTTCTCTCTTCTCTTGACGTGATTCATCAACAGATGGTACATCCAATCACCTGCCAAGTATTTTTGTGCCTGCCCTTTTCCAAAACAGTTTCCAATGAAGACTTCCCAAATGGTTCTATGTAACAAACCATCTGGCGCAGTCAGGTTAGTGGACTATTTCAAACAACTAAAAGAAAAGGCCAATTTAGACCTCTTTAAATCCTTTCACCTACTCATCAATAAATCAGCTACCAGCTAGCACTACAAGTCTTCACCTTCCTGATGTTGGCCAGTCCATTCATGACCAGGCAGTCCTCTCGGTCTTCCTCATCATCCAGCTCCAGCATGGGGCAGCTGTGCTGGTCCAGGAAGAAGCACTTGGCACCCTCATTGCGGGGGTCAAAGGGATCCACAATTATGGGCTCTGTGCCTTTGATCTCACAACGACAGAACGGACAGCCCTGACCATCCGATTCCTGGAACAGATAAAAGAAAGAGTTTGCATGAAACAGGATATTTTATGTACACAGATACAGGTGTGGCGATGACATCTGAAACCCTCTGGCATTTCTAAATCTAATGATGTCACGAGCATGGTTTTGTTACTGTAGTGTTTTGGGAACATGAGCTAGCACTTGGACCATGGAGCAGGAAGGCTGTTGCATGGTTAAGGTTATATGCTTCACTACTACCCTATATCTTACTCTCTCTTCCCCCCTTTCATAAAAGGACTTGACAAAGTCGACTGGACATATGCATGTGTTAATCCTCTCCGGGGGAAACTGTTTTGCAACTTTACAACATTGGCCACATGTACATATTCCACATGGCAGCCCCTATCAAACAGGGGTCATAAATGAGAGAATAAAATAGGTTTTGTTTTTCAGTGCATCTCTCTCTGCTGACTCTGGGGCTACAATCAAAGGCAGACAATATTTACAGAGAACAAAGCTGCATTTGTGGTGGCCATATGGTTGGGGACTTGGCAGGGCATGCACCAAAGGCATGTTTGAAACTTAATCCTAATGAGAGTGGGCCGAGAAGGGAAGGAGTGGGAGGTTAAAAAGAAGGGAGCCCAGACGGGGTAGGAAACTGTGTAATGGTCATGGAGACTGAGGAAACCATACTATTTGGCAACGGGCACGATTGAAGTGACAAACTAAAACAAATTGCTTCTGAAAGCATGCCATGTTGAAGGGGAAAACCTTCCCAACTTTACTTCTGCATTGAAATAGAAAAATAGCACTTCAGCTCAAAAACAAGGTGTTGATAAACTCACCCTTCACACACTGATTTAGAGATTTGCAGAAGTCTAGTAAATGTCAAGGTTAAAACTGGGCAAATTTTGGTTAAGGAGTGAAGGTTTTTGAGATATCTAGTTTAAAAATAAACATGGTTTCAACAGCATTTAAATGAATATGTTTTTTGTTAAAAGGGGCCATATTATGCTCAATTTCAGGTCCATACTTGTATTTGGGTGGCTCCTAGAATACGTTTACATGAGTTAATGTTCAAAAAATAGATTTTTTTCTCATATTTTCCACTGCTGCAGCACCTTTACTCACCATTTGTCTGACAGTCTGTTTTTCTTTAACCTAGCCTATTAGGTTGTGCCTGTTACAATGTGATGTAATATTGTAATGGAAGAAATGGCTGAATTTAAACAAGGCACGTCAGGCAGTGCAGGAGCAGGAGCAGTGTTTCCTGTGGGAGACTAAGTCTCTGTGGTGTGAACTTTGGGTTTTGTCACTTTCCAGACATTTACATGCACAAAAATCTATACAATTCACAGAGCTGTGAGAGTGAGCCAAAACAGTTTGGTTGTGGGCCATATTACACATTACACAGTCATTTAGTAGTTAGTATACAAATACTGATCAGGTTGAATTACGAACAATATATACTGACAGGGGCTGTCACTATGAGTGACACCTTTCACATTATACAGTAGCAGCCATCTGAAATTTGGCGGGTCCAAAGCTGACCTATGTCTATCTAGACTGGGCCCCTGCTCTGCACTTGGTTGGTATGTGATATAATGCGAATGCCCTATGCATCACGTGTGGAAACCAGTTGGAATGCTTTATCTATCCACCAGGAGGAACTTAAAGTGTGAGACATTTATTTGACTATGTGTATAGAGGGAAGGTGCTTCCTAGAAAGATTGGTTGACCGATATACGTGCCTCCCAACATAGTCATTGTTGAAATCCCATAGTATTGATTGGAGGAGCTTTCAACTTTTAAACCAAACTTTAGGTTGGGTTTACCAGTTTTAATATTTTTGCCTAAATGTATTTTGATCTGAAAGTCACGAAATATATGCCTAAAAGAATATAATTTCAAATCACGCTGCCTCAAAAAAAAAAATGTTTGCATCACTTCAGACGAGGTTGACTTTACACTCCCTGGATTGTTACAGAATAAAACTAAAAGCTAGAACAAGGGAACCCTCCCATGTGCCCCATATCAAAAATGGTCGCTGAAGAGAACAGGATGTGGAATTACATAGATCATCAGCCAACTGTGAGTTAGGAGTCAACATCTGTTCCACCCCAGCTGACTAATATACAGAGTAAGAGGAAAGTCAGGGAACCACCACGTAGTCAATGACCTGAACAGACCGGTGCTGGGTTACTCACTGTCACAAGGTAGGAGGGTTCCCTCTCACTGTCTGACTCACTATTTCACTAATGTGAAGGAAAATACTTCATTACCGAAGCACAAATAAATACATACACATACACACACACACACCACCCAACAACACACACACACACACACGTCACTGATTCACTGGCTAAGGTTGTGGAGGAGGCAGGGTCACGGTTGTCATAACAGGAAGTATGACAAAAAAAACACGGTTCATGTGGGTGCTGAATCCTGCTGTTTACAGAGCATGGAACTTAGCTCTGGAACAACTCGCCTCACTCGCTAAACCTACAGCTGTGTTCATAGTGAAACCAACCAAGAAAAAGCTTTCCAGTTTTGTAGCCATGAAATAAAACCTCTTGAGAACAGAGCATCAAACCAAATACCTGTGTGTGCTCAAAAAAGCTTCTCAAAACGCCTAAATCTGGGTAGACGTATCCCCATAGTCCTGTCAGATGAACTAAGCCTTCATCGACACCACCAATCATGTTCCAAATGTGTTCATTTAAACAGGATGTTTTTTAACACTACTGACAGTAGAAAAGTAGATATTATGACAGTATGTATAATTTAATACATACAGTTTTGCGGTTTGTTTAATTTTGCATTTGTGCTACTTGTGGAACAACAGTTGGATGTTTCAACCATTTATCTATTTTAGCTAACTTTTAAAACTATTTATGTTGGGTATTTCAAATATTTATCCACTTTTAGTCAAGGCTGTTTCAATAACTTTTATCCTTTTATAGCTAACTTTTTTGACTATTAGCCATTAATTCTAGCTATTTCGACAATCTGTCACTTTTGGGTAACTTTTAAGACTTCTCTATTCACTTAACTAGCTAGTTTTCACCCCCTCAACACCCGATGTTTCAGGTGTTACAGCTGACTCAATATGTTGATATTTTTTAAATAAAATTGGCAAGTGCAGTGATATAAAGCATTCTCAGGACCATATATGCCCATTTAAGAAACAATCTGCCGCCCCTGTAGGAATTCATTATTTTTTTGTTGTGATAACTGTGACCAAAACATTTGATCTGTGGGCAGATATCCCAAAAGATTTTGGTATGACTTTCGTTTTTTGAAGTCTACAAAAATACTGCAGAGAATAACTTCCTGTAACAGTACACAGACTGGCTGCATTGTCACAGAAGCTTCTTATCATCGCAACCCTCCCTTTGGTGAGCAAAACATTAAAAGCCATGAATTTGAATAAGTTCTAATGGTATAAAATGCGTTCAATTTTTTCATTCAATTGCTCTGACTAACACAATGCAAACAAAAGGCTCATAATAAATGGAAACGATTACAGCACTGAGTGACTAAAAAACAAAGTGCACTCAGCTTAATGTATAAAACCTGCACTTATTGTCCTCTGAATCATCTTCCATGTCCTCCCTCGCAAAAGCTCCTCTGCCAAACATCTAAAGCATTGTTGAGATAGGGTTCATTTGTTTAAAAACATCAAACTATAATACACATAATAGAAACATTTTAAGTCTGAAAACAGAATGACTCCAGTGATAGATTTTGCCTGCCTATTGAACAATTCAAATATTCTACTTAAGACTTTGACACTTTCCTCTCTGAGAGTTAGAACAAACATACTCTCAGCCAGCTCAAAAAATAACCTTGATAAAGAATTGTGATTGCAAGACAGGTTTTTGGGCTCGGGTCCAGGTCTGCAGAGTGAATGTGTGTCCCCTGCCAGAGATCAATAACACTGAGGTCAGTGCAGAACTCGTACAGGAGAGCCGCCTCCCTTTGACTGCAACACAGATGTCCCACGCAGAGGTGGGAGGGTATGAAAGACGGAGGGGGGGAGAGAGAGCGGCAGGAGAGGAGGGAGACTCGATGCTGACTCATTAGGGGAAGGTAATTACTAACACACTGCGCTGGCAGGGCTTCTGATACACTGCACGAGCACAATGGACACAGCAGGACAGTGTGCTTGTAGGATGCGCACATTAGAAAAAAATGGCACACAGCAGGAAGGAGAGAAACACACGGAAACACTGGAATATACTGTGTGCACACTCTAAGCTTTCACTTCTGCTACTGACTGATATGTGGAAATTTGATTAGGACAGATGCAAGGACACAGGGAGGAAATGAGGGGGGGAGGGAGGAAGTGAGGGAGGGAGGGAGAGAGGGAGAGATTGTAAACCATGTGTCTTGCATTGGAAGCTGAAAGCTGCTTCTATTATTCAGTAGTGGTTTCACTTATATGCAGATGCTCATTAATCTCAAACCAGATTCATTCCTACATATAAATGTAAAAAATACGCTGTTGGCAGTGTTGAAGAGGTTAACATGTGTGAGGTTTTGGTCTTTTTCTGCTGAACAGAATATTGCACATAAAGACAAAGACAATGTGATGATGAAGATTCTGGCAGTACCCACAATGTCCCATGTACATGCATAAATGGTGACAGCAACCGGCCAAAGCCACAGATTCACCATCTCTGTTCAAAGTTTTGATCTCGGAATGAGTACGTGCAGTATTGGTTCATTACGATACCTGCCAGGCTGTAAGACAGGAAGTGCACATTAGGTGACCACAGGGTTCGATCTTGACGTCTTTGTCGTTCTCGGCGCAGATCTTACACAACTGGAAGGTGGAGCCCATTTCGCAGTAAAGCTCATACTGCTCCTGTTCAGGCAAAGCAAAGGCCTGTTAGTCATCGAGTGGTGCACGTATCAGACATGGGACACACATACAGCATACACACAGTACAAGCTGCCCATTGTGGCCATAATGGTACATTCAGTGATGTTTACAGGGACTTCCAATCACTAATTCAGAGCTATTCCATGATCTTGGTTAATGTTATCGAAAGTTACAGGAAAATCTGTATAAATCAAATCAAATGACAAACGTGTATATGTATCAGGGTTACTGCGGGTTTAAATACCTTTTAAGACTATTATCAATGCAATTTAAGACCTATTTTATGTCTATACTGGCAAAAAAGTACAAAAGATATGAAGGAAAATATGTCTTCATTGCTTTTATTTTACTTATATTCAGCTACCGTGTGTAAAGTTCAGACCACATCCGCTTTTAATGACAGATCCAAACTCTTGTTGCAGGAGTTACGGTACGTGTCCACAGGATGAGTCATTTTCACACTTTTCATTCACTGTCTATATGAGCAGCTGTGCAATGCATTTTCTGCAGATGTTAACACAAACCAATACTTGGTGATGGCAGGCGTTTGCTGCTGGATTTTTACTTCATATTTTTCTGACTTACTATGCCACTCTGATAACCTTTAGACCCAAAGCTGAGCATTTTCTTCCACGAGGTGCAGTGGTCTGACACATGTTTGGCCAGGTTCAGTCAGTTCTCAGTGAACATTTTTCATACTGACAGTTTACATGATGTATTCTGGCTCTGTGCAGCTAAGAAATTCAATGACTGGTGGGAACCATGATACATTACTCTACCTATCCAGATGAGACATGCTTTCAGACACACACACAAACCCACTTGTGTCACTTTGATGTGATCATGAGGCGTTGGCTCACACAGACCGGTGAGGTCAGGATTGTAGCTGCGACCATCGGGGTACAAGTAGCTGCAATTTACAAAAGAAAACATTTAAACCAGCACACAGTAACTAACTGCACATTAGGGATTTCATTTTGTTTTATCTATAATATTCTACAACATGCGACATAAAAAAATGTGATGAACCAGAAATATCAGGGCTGCACAATTAATGGAAATATTATCAAAATGACAATATGCAAATCCTGGAAGCTGCAACTTTTTGATAATTGTTAAATGTGTGATAAGCATTATAATGAAGTACTGTGGCGCTGCAGAGATGTCCTGGCCTACAGAACTGTGACGCAAAAATTATCATCCATTATTCATACTAATCATATTGCAATGGTAATATCTGTCTAAATAATCGCAATATGAAAAGAAAACCTTTTTCTTCTAAAGAGATGTTAATCGATCCTGATTTCTGACTGACACAAAAAAGTTCTTAAATAAATAACTAAAATTAAGATTAAATAAAAAAATGAGCTAGTGATATCTTTCCTGCATGGAATAAAAAGTCATATATAGCCATCAGCAATTATTATGCAGCTAAGCAGAAACTCTTCTCCATTCAAAGTCAGTTTCGATTCGGGTGTAACCACGATAACTGACGTTTGAAAGAGCGACTGACGGGAGCTTAACTTCCCCCCACAGCTGCTAGTGTCTCCTGCCCGATCAAAAACAGAGGTGCTTCAAACAGGATCTCCCCTCTTCTTCCCCCTCCTCTTCCCCCACCCCGCTCTCCAGCTACAGTGGACTTGCAAGAAAGAAGCGGCGCTTCTCGGCCGGCCGTGATTGACGGCTGAGGGAAGCGAGATGCCACACGCTAAATGGAGGGAAGCGTGTCTGATTTGTCTGGGGGCCTGTCAGATTATCAGGTATGATAGAAGCAGATGGTTAAGGCTGAGGAAGAGGTAGCTTTCAGAGAAGAGTTACGCCTTCAGGCACCTTAAAATCAGATGTGACTGATTAAGACACGGTTGATCATTTCTCATTTGCATACAGTGTGTACGCAGAGGAGAGTTTAGCACAAGCGATCAACATACAAAGAGAGAGTGAACTAGAGAGAGAGAGTGAGTGTGTGTGTGAGTGCCTGAGGTTACATACAAGCCCTCCCTGTAGCCATCGATGAGGGCCTGGAACAGCGGTTTGTTGTGGGGGATGGTCTGCAAGATGTTGCCATCACTGGTCACATAGCCAATGGCCCACTGGCCCAGTCGGGTACAACTGAGTCTGAAGATGTAACTGTCAGAGAGAGAGTGGACACAAGTACACGGTTCACACACAATCTGCAAAACAAAACTTTTACAAACTTTCAATAACGATGTGGAAGCAATATAACATTTTGTCATGTCAAGCTACATACATAATCAGAATTAGGTTTAGGTTTATTGCAAGGAATGTTTTTACACATATGAGGAATTTGTCTTGGTGCATTGGTGCATAAAATATACAAATCAAACACAAATATACAAATCACACAAAAATATACAAATCACACAAAAATCCCACAAGATTTACAATACAATACAGTGGTCTCAACTCAAACTGTCTTGGGGCCACTGCTGGTATTGTCAGTGTGTCATAGGAGGGCCACTTCAGTGTTCAAGTACTACAAGAAAGAGCAATATTCTGGAAATATTAACATTAATCACATCACACTTTTTTTTTTTAAGTTATTTTTTTGGCCTTTTATTGCCTTTTTTGGATAGAGACAGCTGAAGATTAACAGGAAAGGGGGTAGAGAGAGAGGGGATGACATGCAACAAAGGGCCGCAGGTCAGATTCGAAACCCGGGCCATGGCAGCAACTCCATCTATGGGTCGCCAGCTCTACCGACTAAACCCCACCCACTAAAATCACACTTAACAAAAACAAAAAAATATACATTTTATATCATCTTATCTACGTCACATGTAAAGTTAATCAACTAGTATTACTTAAATCAACTTTAAGTTCAATCCTATCTAATTATATGATTATAATTTTTTTGTGTGTGAAATGTTTTTTTTTTAATACTTGAAAAGGTGTTTTTTTACAGGCACAACTACACACACCATAACACACATAAACTAGTGCCAACAGCACAGTATTTATAGCGTGTTTTATCATTACACATGTATATTCCTTTTTCTTTGGTATTTTTTGCTGTTGAACCTTTATTCATTGTACTGCTTTGCTAAGTGCTAAGGTTATTAGAGTGAACGAAAACTAAACTAAAAACTAAAACTAGGTGGGAAAAAAAATGTTTAGTTAATGAAATAAAATAAAAATTAGACTTTAGAAGAAAAAAAATTTATATTTATTTATTTTATATTCTCATTTATCCAATGCATAGTGACTTTTACCTGTACAGTCTCCTACTACAATATAAAAATGTAAAACTAGTTTAAAATAGTGTATTCATTTTATCTGACAGATGTTTTTTACTTATTCATATACAGCATCATATGACTGCTCAATATTCAGCCTAGAAGTTCAAGTTACCATTTGCTATTGTTTATGGCCTGTTATCACTCAATATACAGTAATGTATGCTAGTGATCCTTCTGTCACTCAACATAATGTATGCTAAGCAAGTAAGCAATCAGCTGAAACATTATCACTCCAGGCACTCTTCTCAAAGATCTTAAAAGCAAATACATAATGCCTCAGTAAGATTCAGTGTGCTTAATCTTCACAAGTATACACAGCAGACCGGCTGAGCTGCACTTGAAACACTGTCTCAAGAGCTGTAACAAATAAGGCGAGCTCTAATTTTTTCAGTCCCACCCTTGGTATGCAGTGTGACTGAAAAGCCACTTCTGCTGGACTGAAAACATAAAAGCAACTATCAATGGACCTCATGATGAGTGCACTGACACACAAAAGATCAATTCCGTCACACACACTGCAGTCATACCACCGGAACTTCTGCTACTATTAACTCGCGCGTGTATGTGTTGGAGACACTGTATCAAAGGAAGCCAGATGCAGAGAGCACACTCTTGATTAAAAAGAGGCTTTTGGTAGTTTGAGAAGAAAAAAGGGGAGGATAAATAAAGCTCCAGATCAGCCCCTGCAGGGACTTGAAGTGAAGTCAAACATAATAAAATGAGGCCAATGTGGAAGTAACAAAAACTGCAACGGCCACTTGAGGCTGGCTCCCAAAACTAGTCAATCCCCATAAGGCCCCGTATTAAAATGCCCATCTTTACAACATAAACAAACATGGTTACAGCTTGGTACAAGTTTTGGTCTCTACAGCTAATTTTCCCATTCATGACAACTGTATGGGTTTAAATTACATTCAATCTTTATATATTTAATAAAACTCATTCTTCTAATAATCTTTGTAAATAAAATAAATTTTCCTTCAGATTGGTCTTATTTCAGACATTTTCGTTCGTCTCTTTGTGGGGTCATTATATAAGCAACCATGTCTAGTCTATCCCTGAAATTAAAGCTGCAGTAGGTAACTTTTACAAAAATATATATTTTTATAAAATAACAGATGATTCTTGAGTAATTTTTAATAAAGTTACCTACTGCAGCTTTAATGATAACAGCCTCATGAATCAGTTGTACAGACCTGATGTGATCAATGACACCTGAGTGACCAATGGAGGATGGAACAGATGAGATGATTACAACTCACACACTTCAACTATTAAAAAATGAGCCAATAACAAAAAAGAAAACAAAAAAACAATGTTTTTTCTACACTGAAATATGAAAATTGTACCTCTGCCTTTTGTATAAAACTAAACCGAAACAAAGAATGGTGCCTGTGCCAAGTCGTTCAAGCCTTATCACAGAGGGATTTCCTTGTGCAGCTGAATACAAAGGCAACAGCTCAGCACAAAGGTGGAACAATCTGAATGTGAAAACGACGTGAGAAAAGAGAACGAGGAGGTATTATACATGCAGTCCAGCATGAGTACTGGGCTAAAAGCTAGCCCTGACCACAGTATGATCCCATCTCCACCAGCAACAAAGTCAGCATGCTAAATCCACCAGGGCTTTGACCGAGAAGAGACGTGGGTGGACAGTTTGAGAGCTTCAGACTGCTCCGCTGATGCTATTGAGCTGTTTCGGACAGAATGTATACCTGTGTGTGCATGATAGTGAAACGCTTACACAGTCACACATGCGTTAAAGCAATCATCACTTTCTGTGTGATAACCATGTTTGGTGTTATTATTGAATTTAGATATGATCAATACATTGTGGGATGACTTTTCATCAATCTGTAAGATCTGACTTATCCCAAGTGCATGCACAGAAGTGTTCGTGTGGGCGTGTTTGCGTGCTTGAGTGTGTGTCTGAGTGAGCCGAAGTGGTAACATGTAGCGGCTCATCCAATACAACTGCCCTCCCCCACACAGCTGTGCGTGTGTGTTTGTTCCAGTGCTGGTTCATAACAATGGTATTTGCATGATTCACTCTGTGATCAGTACCCTATACATTTGCATACTCAGACACACTAGCCCCACACTTAAATACACACACACACACACACACACACA